AGGGTGGCTTTTGCTCTCATCCATCAACACTCCCCTCCCTCAGGTTCTGTACCGATCATTGACAAACTCAAGAACCTGTGGCAGCCGAAAACGGATCATCTTTTCCTCCCTGGAATCTCTTCTTTTGCTCGCTGTGACCCCATACTTACCCAATTCCCCCCTCACTTCTCTGGTCACTCTGTTCCTTTTACTAGTTCTTTCTTTTGACACATAAATGGATGAGTTTCTCAAAGCTCATGTATGATGCTCTTCATGCCATCCCATAACTTTCCTGGTCCTGGGTCATTAGTGTTTAACGCACCAAGCCTGTTCTTCAGATGGCCCTCACGTCAGATGAGACATACTCAGAGCCCCGTCATGGTTCTCAGGGGCTTGTTTCAGTTTTCTTCAGCTTCAACCTGAACTGCCTATGAGCCATTGATGATCTGTTCCACACTTGGCCATGGCCTTGTCTTGACTATATTATTGAGCTTCTCCATCATCTCTTTCCACAGGTGTAACTGATGTATTCTATGATGTACAACGAACAAGTAATTGGTCTTAAAATCCTGTCATGCCAGTTCCAGCTGCCTTTCTGTTGCCAAGCCCATATTTCCCAGCTACTGATCCTGCTTCCTTGTTTCCAACTTTCACATCCCAATCACCAATAATTATCAATGTACCTTTAAAATGTTTTTATTTTTTTATTTTTTATTTTTTAAAACCTTTAAAATGTTTTATGGTAAACTGGGTGAAGTTTTACAGAGCAGATCATCAGTTTTATATCCAACAATTCATATACAGATTATTTCATCTCATTCATTGTAATCTCCTCGATGAACATCACTTATCCTACTTCCTCTTTGTTTTTTGTATCACATCGATGCCTATTGATGGCTTGTTTGATCAACTTCAGACTGAAGAACTTGGTAGAAATACTTATTTTCCTCATCATTGGCTTTAGTGGTTGGAGCATAAATTTGAATAATAGTCATATTAACTGGTCTTCCTTAGGTGTATGTGCATACATAGACAGCATTGGCCTCTAAGTTAGGGCTTGAAATGCTCTTTTTGACTCAGTGCCATTCCTCTTGAATTGGTCATTCTCAGTATAATAAGCCATATGATTGTCATTTTCAAAGTGGCCAGTACCAGTCCAGTCAGCTCACGAATGCCCAGTATATCCATTGTTATGTGTTCCATTTCATGTTTATTCTTCCAGGTTTCCTAGATGCCTACTTCGTATGTCTACATTTCACTTATTAATGGATGTTTGCAGCCATTTCTTCTCCTTTTGAATCCTGCCCATCAGCGAGTGAAGGTCCCGAAAGCACTGCCCAGCCGCCTCACTCAGGGCACCTCTACTTGGAAGAGGCACCTCTTTCCGAGTCATGGTTTAGGTGATTTCCAACCTGAGGCTCTCATCTTCCAAGAATATGTCAAACAATGTCCCACTGCTATTTATAAGGTTTTTTAGTGTCTAATTCCTCAGACTGGGCCACCTCTTCTTCCTAGTCTGTCTCAGTCTGGAAGCTCTGCTAGACCTGTCCACTATGGGTGACCCTGCTGGTATTTGACATAGCAGTGGTCTCGCTTGCAGCGCCACAGCAACATGCAGACCACCACAGGATGACAAACGGAGAGGGGAGTGGTGGCTTCCTACACAGTTTCATAAATTCTCCTGGCTTCAGATACCACCTATTTATCACAAGTCTTCACAGTGACATTGCTAGCCCAGACTTCTCTTTTGAGCCCCATTCAACTACCCAGTTGACCTCTCTGTCAGGAAGTCCCTCAGATTTCCCCGAGTCCCACAGGTTCACAATAGATTTGGTTCTTCTTCCGTTTGGTCCCCACACCCTTCCTCAGCTGAGCGAGCGTCACTGCAATCCGCCCAGCTTCTCTGGTGACAAACTGGGGACGATGTCCCGCCAGCTCTCTTTCCCGGACTCGCAGCATCTAGTAATCGTCCAGTTCTGTCCGTTAGAGCTCGGACATTTCTAAATCTCTGTCCTCATTGCTGCACCAGCTTCTAACAAATTTCCCATCTGACATCTTGGTGGTCCTCGTTGCCCCCAATCAATTGTTTCCCTAAACAAAAGCTCTTAAAAAAAAAAGATTTACAATTTTGGTGTGCTTTTTAATTGAATTTTTGAAACTTTTCATTTCGCCATATTCATAAAGACGTACCAACTTCAGAGGGCGAGCAAAGAAGCGGGACAGAAAGAGGAAGCATGAGATGCTGTGCAGTGAGCAATCGTACGCTGAGGGGATTGTAGTACGAATCAGAATGCCTGTAGGTTATTGAATAATGTAGAACTATGATCGACCCTATAAACCTTCACTTACCTTATAATAAAAAGTTGTGGTTTTTTAAAAGTACAAGATATATAGAATGTATACCCATACCCACTACCTTTACTGGTAACACCACACAGAACTATGGTATCTGACCCAAACCGGACAATTGGCATGGATGCAATCCACAGGCTTTACCCAGATTTGCTCAGTCTGATATGCACACTTGTGTAGCGTGCGATGCCGTCTCAACCATCCCCACAATCCAGATACAAACCTGCTCTTTCACCTCAAAGGCCCCTCTTAGGAGAGTACCCTCCTTTACAAATATTCTTATTCCTGCAGGTGTGACTGAGGTCACACGGCCTGAAACAAGGGGGGTGGGAGTCTGTGCGATCTGGCTCAAGCCTCCTCTCTAATGGCACCTCTGCTCACTGGCCTTGCCCTGCTTGTCAGTTTGTCAAGTGCCTTCAGTCCTCAGAGTGTCCCCTTCCACCCAGTGACCTCCTTCACATCCTGAGGCAGCAGCTTAAAGAAAGATTTCGTTCTCGGGACAATTTTCTTGACACTGCAGACTAGGTTGGGCTTTCCTCTTGTTTGATTTTAATTGCCAACGATGGTTTTCGTATGTGACTCCTATCACCTAGTTCTAAGTGGGTGGATATGCGTGCCACGTGTTCATTGATGCTCTCTTGCCAGACGGGAAGGACCTGTGGTCTGCCTTACCACCATGCCTTTCTCTGTCTGGGGCGCCAACCAGTACAAGGTCCAGGCCTTGTACGTGCTAAGGAGACGACTTGTTAATAAAGCATTATTATGAGCTGGCTAGGATGATGCCATTAGGCAAAGTCAACTTTGCCAGATTAGACGCGTCCCACTGTCTTGACTTCAAACTTCCCTGCCAACCATTAGAATCTCAAACGTCATTTACACTTCCATCTCCATCCCAGCATTCCCGGCGTTCTGTAAGAGTTTGGGAAAAGAAACAGCTCTGGTCAGGACCCTTCTTAGGCCTGTGAAGAGTCATCCCGGCTTCTAACGCTGAGCATCTTTCTCTCCAGGGCCCCTGCGGGCCTCACCCAGAGGGTTCTTTCCTTCAAGAGCTGTGGCAGTCTCTAATTGAAATGGCACCTGAGAAGTCTTAGATCAGCCCTGTCCTCAATACTTCCGCCCTGCTATTTGCTACCTGCCGACCATCCAACAAGTCATTTCCACCGCCATGCCCACCCGCAGAGCAGACGTGAGGGATTTTGTCATTCAGAGCCCCAAATCTGAAGGGTTGTCCAAGTTGAAAATACTTGACTCAAATGACTGTGATGTAGCTCACTCTCTGAAGACTGGACACGGTGGAAAGGAGGGGCACCCTTTTGGGATAAGGCTTTGCCAAGGACACATGATGGCATGGGATTGGAACTTGCCTATGGAGGATGCTGGGTGGGTGGAGCTAACCGCAGTTCATAGCCCCTAGCTAGAGTGGTCTAATGGTTACACACTGGGCTGCTAACCACCAGGTTAGGGGTTTGAAACCACCAGCTGCTCTGCGCAAGAAAGATGGCCCTTTCTACTCCCGTAAAGCGCTCCAGTCTCGGAAACCTACCAGGGACAGTTTGACCCTGTCCTGTAGGGTCACCGGAAGTCGGAATTGACTCGATAGCAGTGAGTGAGTGGCAATAGTGTCCCTCGTTGGAAGCACATAATTCTTCCCATGAACGAGGCGACACGACGCACCGTATTGGGGGCATGTCAGGGGTGGGCGCTTGTGCAGAGAGCATTAGGACAGTCAGCAATGGACTCCGTGCTGGGAGCTTGAGGGAGATTCCTGGCTGGTTCACAGCTCTGAGATGACGGAGCATGATCCCAGCGTGCCTTTCCTGCCTTTCTACAGCTCATAGCTGCCCGCTCATTGTCGGGCTCCCCCTTTGCGGTGAGCTGTGGCCGAGGAGAGAACAGAGCCACACTCGCTGGTCCCTTAGGACTATGGGCTCAAAGGTTGTGGTGCGCTGCCACGCCGTTTGTCTTGCTGTTGGGGTAACTGGCTTAAATGCTAATGGCATGGAGGAAAGAGTTGGAAGCAGTGAGCGATCTTTTGAGGAGACCCCTGGCCATTGTGTGCCTTTTGTTTTGAAAGTCTACTTTGTCTCCCTCTTGGCCTGGACACTTCTTCTGTCGGCCCCGGCACTGTTCAGAACCTGAACGTTTGCTCGCTCCGTGGCACGGGCACAGATATGCTAGATGGCACTGCCTCATGCTGCAATCAGACACTGTCCCGGGAAGCCTCGCGTGATCCATCTGACCTTCTTCCCTGTGTCCCAAGGCCATGTGGAAACTTTTTTGGACAAGAAGATCCGGCTCCAAATAGCTTTTACATCCTGGAGGCGATGCTGGTATATCTCACAGTGCCGCCCCAGACTGTGCACACTGCAATGTACTTCCTGGTTCCCTCTGATCACCACTTTTTGCCCTCATCAACTGGAGTGCCCTATGAGGACACTGGCTATGAGGGCCAGGGGGCTTGATGGCATCTACCCTCAGTGTCTATTTTCTTCACTTAGACCTTGACCTGATGCGATGGGGGAGGAAATGGTGCTGAGGTCCCGAGTTAGCCTCCTATCAGACTCTAACTCACTCACAGATGTGTTTCTGGATCGTGGTGCTGAGGGGTGACAGGTCAGACCCTCTGGCCCTAATGCTGCTCTCGGCTTCCTGTTTCTGGCTTCCTCCAGGTCACCCGACCTGCCTGCAGTTCACCCTGAACATGACGGAGGCTGTCAAGACCTACAAGTGGCAGTGCATCGAGTGCAAATCCTGCATCCTCTGTGGGACCTCGGAGAATGATGTAAGTCTGGGGCATCCCGTGCTGGGAGGGAGGCGTCTAAGGAGAGTGGCTTTGTAGAGTGGAGAGGAAGGCAGGCCTCTCACCGCTCACTGCCCTCCTGGAGACCAGTCAGGGAGGACTCTCTCCTTGTTCTCTGGCCCAGGACCCTTGGGAGCCTCGTAGTATGAGGACCTGAGGTGCTCTTTGCCTGTGGGGACAGAGACACAGGAGGTGTTGGCCAGAGGCTGGTTCACTGGCCACTTGCCTTTTACCTTGAAGCTCAGCAGCTCCCTGGCCGAGAGCAATGATTGACAGTGGTCACCGGACTTAGAGTTGGGATGCGCTTGGCTGTGTAAACAGGATTCCAGAGTGCGCTATCTCGTCGGTCCAAATGTCACATGCAATACATTCAGAATCAACAAAAACACTTTGAGTTACGGACAATTTCAAGCATGTAGCAAGAGACTCCTGAAGCAGAAATACCCCACCGTCGGCTTGAACGCCGACCAACACATGTCCCAGCGCATTTCCTACAGACCGCCTCCTCCCCTAGTGTGGCACCAGTCATAGATATTTCATATGTAGCTCAGAAGAAGGGCTTCGTGTTCAGTTTTCCACGTAAACACTGCTCAAAAAATACGGCCCTTACTTTGCAGCTAACTGATGTTCTCTTAACGAAGTGCTTCTCCACCTTCCTGATGCCGCCACCCTTTCACACAGTTCCTCGTGTGGTGGTGACCCCCAACTATCACATTATTTTCGTTGCTACTTCATCACTGTCATTTTACTACTGTCATGAACTGGGCGACCCCTGTGAGAGGGTCATTTGACTTCCCCATAGGGGTCAGAACCCACAGGTTGAGAACCACTGTCTTAAAGTTTCTTTTAATACATAGATTTTCCCTTTGTTTCTCGCCTTCTCTCTCCTTCACCCTTTCTTCCTCTCCCGGCCCCTCCTTCTGCATCCTCTTTATTTTCGGCCTTGAATTGAAGACATCCCATCCTATGTTCATTGAAGTGTCCGGGACTGCATTTTACTGGCTGCATCACTAAGGTGGCGGTTGACATTTCCCTTTGTCTCTTTTATTTCTTGTCAAATAAATAAAAGAAACTTGATCACATTCATGGGAAAGAACAGCAATTTTTTGGTGGAGAACAGGGATGAAAAGGTAATAGAATGTTTCCACGAATTGTAAAAACACTCATATATGTAAAATAGAAATATGTAATCTATACACAATTCATGTGATATAATGCAGATGGCACGCAACCTCTCTGTGATATGTAACACGAAAGAGTGCGCATATGTGTTGTTCTTGTTGGGGGTGGGTGCCATTGGGTGGGCTCTGACTCCTAGGGACCCCATGGACGACGGAGCGACACTCTGTCTGGCCCTGCGCCAGCCTCACCGTTGTTGCTCGGCCTGAGCCCCGGGTTGCAGCCATCATGTGCATCCATCTCAGCAGGGATCTGCCTCTTTTGGGTCACCCTCTGCTTTACAAGCAGCCTGTCCTCCTGCAGGGACTGGTCTCTCCTGAGGATTGCATGTCCACAGCAAGGACCAGGAGGCCTCTCCCTCCTCACTCTGAAGAGCGCTCTGGCTCTACCTCTTCCAAGTCAAATTTGTTTATTCTTCTGGCAGTTCATGGTGCTTTTAGTATTTTACCAACACCCTAACTCAAATGCACCAATTCTGTGATCTCTATTCATTTGCCCAGCTTATATCAAATAGACATAGATGACGTATATATAAATAAAAATGCACAAGCACGCAGATGCACAGGTGTCTACGTATTTGGAAAGATGGCTTCATAGAGGGTTTTGCGTGCTTCCATAAGAAGATATATGATTCTCAGGTTCTCTCCTTTTGTGAAGTTAGCCGCCATTGATGATCATTGGCTAGACCAATGATTTCACCGGGGTTGCAAAATGATCACATTCTTATTTTATAACTCCTTCTTTGTTTATTAGCTGGGGTCATTCTATAAAGAAGAACATTCCCAACACCCTAGGCACTTAAGCGGAGGCAAGTATCGTATGGAAAAGGCAGGGTGAATGCTAGATTCCACCTTTTAAAAAATCAGTTTTCAAAATAACAAGGACTTCAGAACTTGCACATGATTGAAAATACTCAAGAAAAAGGGATTGTGGGATATCGTCTAAATGTCATGAAATGAAGCTCTTTTCTCTTTCTCGTCTCAACCTTAGAACAAAAGCCAGTATTAGAGAAACACGATCGGCATTTCCACTAAGATCAGGAATCAGAAAAGACAGCCCACAATCACTACTCCTATCCAACTCGGTTCTGGAAACATTAGTCCATGTGATTAGCTAGTATTTAGCTGAATTTAGAGAATATAAAAATACATATCCATTCACTTCTTAGCTGTGTGTCTTGGGAGGACCGGGGAGGGCTGACCCAGAACTATTCTCCAATAAAAGGAGAAATGGCTGAGGTCAAGACTGGGGCAGGGGATACGGGCACAAGAGGAGCTTGGAACATCTTGTGGTGCCCTAAAGGACGGAATTATTTGAAAAGCATAAGGCATGTCTAAAGGACACAGGTGCCAACCCAAAGGAATGTCCAGCCATTAAAGCTGGAACAATGTGAGCAACACAATAATGATCATCTAGTGAGGTGCCTTTGCGCCCGGCAACCCTTTGTACAACAGAATGAAGCAGGGCCCAGTGCTGTGTCACCCTCACACTTGTTGCTACGCGTAAGCCCATGGTTGCAGCCTTCTAATTGAGTCTTTCCCAGTTTTGCTGACCCTCTAATTTACCAAGCATGATGTGCTGCTCCAGGGCCTGGGCCCTCCTGGTAACATGCCCAAAGTATGTGAGACAAAGGTTCACCTTCCTCCCTCCTAAGAAACATTCTGGCGATACTGCTTCCAAGAGTGATTTGTTTGTTCTTCCGGCCACTCATGGTATATTCACTGTATATTTTTCATCAATACCATAGTTCAAAAGGCAGAAGCTCTTTGTATTAGTCTGGGTACCCTTGAGAAACAAATCCACAGAAATTCATGTAAAAGAAAGAGTTTTATATAAAGGTTAACTATGCATCAAGAAAACATCCCAACCCAGTGCTGCCTAAGCCCACAAGTCCAACATTAACCCATTAACCATATGTCCAACACCAGTCCACAAAGTCCTCCTCCATCTCACAAAGCAGACGCAATGATGCCGATTGCAGGAGGAAAGCTAAGTCAGTGAACGTGTAAACATCTCAGCGCTGGCAGGAGTCTCCACATGGCTGCTCCAGCACCCAGGGCTGCATCGGGGTAGGTCCATGTGGCTTCTCCTTGGGGATGTCTTGCAGGAAGTGATCCTTGCAAACTGAAGCAGGGAAGTGCTAAGGCAGCTGCACCCTGGTGCGACCATCACAAAGCGAGAGACCCTGAGAACTTGAAAGGCGAGAACTTGAAAGGCGAGGCTCACCAAGCCATTTATCCCTCCGCCCTTCAATTAATCCCACATGTGTTTATTGGCCAGGTTGGCACAATAGACTAACTCACTCTTCTTTGAACTTCCTTATTCATTATTCAGCTTTAGCATATGAAGCCACTAAACATACCATGGCTTGAGTCAGGCATACCTTAGTCTTCAAGTGACCTGTTCTTTGCTCTTGTACTGCTCTGAAGATTTCTGCAATGCCAATGCCATTGGAGGGCTGCTTTTCTGCCCACCCTGGGTGACCCTGTTGGTATTTGAAAGGCCAGTGGCAGAGTTGCCAGTATCATAGCCTCACAAAGCCACCACTGTACAGCAAAGTGGCAGATAAGGGGTAGCCCCTGGAAATATGGATGATCTCAAATGATAACCCAAAGAATTAAATAAGTGTCATGACTGGCCTCAGTGAATCCATCAATTCTTCCAAGAGAATTGGATCAAAAAGGGACCAGGTGGGTCACAAACAAACCAGGACACTTTGGATGCAAGAGGCACAAAGTATGGCTCTTACACTAGCATCCGGGTGTCTGGCCACAGTGGATTCTGTATGCTTCCCAGGGGCGTGCCTTCTTGACTTGGGCATGTCTTGGCCACTCCCAGCTGGCCTCTCAGCACCATGGGTTCACATGACCAATCTGGGGCTAGTGAAGGGCATTTTATGGACTTGAAATTCATTCCCGGTTTTCATGAGTCAGTACCTTAAATACTTTCAAGGCATTCTTTGGGCCAGCTGAGGGGAAGGAAAGCAAAACCAACCCTGCAGGCCAGGAGGCTGCCCACTGGTGCAATAAATGTTCACCCAAAGCTTCATGTAGCTAAGGATACAAGGATGAATACAGTCTGCCCTCGAGGCTCCCACAAACAAGTAAGTGTGCAGAGCATAGGAGACTATGAGAGGTGAAGGATGGATAGGATGACATGGTCAACGGGGGGGGGGGGGGCTTTGGGGGGAGCAAACAGTTAACAGACCTGTTTGGAGCCCATCCAGAGGCAGTGTGGAAGAAAGGGCCGGCCTCCTATTTCTGAAGATTCGGTCACTGGGAATCTCACAGAGCACAGTGTTACGCTGACACACTTGGCATCACTTGTAGTGTCTCGGTGCCGTTAAATCGATTCCGACTTCCGGGACCCTGTACACAACAGGGTTGCCGTTGAATTGGTTAAATCGGTTCTGACTGGGAACCCTGCTCAGTCCTGGGCCAGCCTCCCAACTGTGTCATTTGAGCCCATCGTTGTCAAGGGTCTAACTCTTTTTTTGATTCTTGAGCCTGGCGTCCTTTCCCAAGCGTGAGATCCTTCTCCAGGGACTGGTCTCTCCTGATACAAAATCCATGAGATGAAGTCTCATCCTAGCCTCAAAGGAGCATGCTGGCTGGACTTCATCCAAGACAGATTTGTTTGTTCTTTTGGCGGTCCCTGGTACTTCCAGTATTCTTCTCCAGCACCGTAACTCAAAGGCGTCAATTTTCTGTCAGTCTTCCTTATTCAACGTCCAACTTCCACATGTATATGAGGTGATGGAAAATATCATCGCTTGGGTCAGGTGCACCTTTGTCCTCAAAGTAACATCCTTTCTTTTCCATATTTTAAAGAGGTCTGTGTAGCAGATTTACCCGATGCAGTGTGTCCTTTGATCCCTTGAATGCTGCTTGCAAGCGCACCGACTGTAGAGCCCAGTAAGATGAAATTCTTGACAACTTCGATCCCTTCTCCATTTATCATGCTGTTGTCTATTGGTCCAGTTTGAGGATTTGGGTCTCCTTTACATTGAGCTGTGATCCATCCTGAAGGCTGCCATCCTTGATCCTCATCAGCAAGTGCTTCAAGTCCTCCTCACTTCCAGCAAGCGAGGTTGAGTCATCTGCCTATTGCGGAAGGTTGTTAATGCGCCTTCCTCCAATCCTGAGGCCGTAATTCTTCTTCAGCATCCCAGATTATCTGCTCGGCACCACTTCTATTAGAATCCACACATTGCGATCCTGGCCTTGCGGGTGCCATGTTTGCTTCCTCCAGGTATAGTTGTTGCGCATTTCACAAATAGGGCGTGTGAGGTAGGGAGGAATTTAACTAAGGCCCTGAAACATCTAAAGTACATCCTACACATGAAATCATCATCACGGGCTATAAAAAATTCATGAACTTCTCATTCAACCCGTGGGGAGGAACAAGCTATTAGCAACTGGAGTTCAGGAAGAGCCAGGGATGCCTTGACGTAGTGGTCAACGAGGGCTTCTTAGAAAGAACAGGGCCCCAAAGAGGGGTCGTGGTGCCTATAACCTCCAAGTTGATTCTGAGTCCCAGTGACCCACTGTGTGTAGACCAGAGAGCTGCTCCGAGGGCTGTCGGTGGCTGTGGCTTTGAGAAAGCAGATGGGCAGGCCTGTCGTGTGAAGTGTCCCCGGGGGTGGAGGGGGGAGTTCCAATCACCACCCTTGGGCTAGCAGTCACACATCGGGCCGTTTGCACCACCCAGGGGCTCCTACAAGGGGGTGGGCTTTGTCCGCCTGGAGAGATTGAGGGGGCTGCTTGAGGTATAAGAGAAGCACAAGGCATGCTACAAGACAGCGAGGGTTCCGAATGGGGCCTGGCGTGGGGTGAGCAGGGAGCGTGATTGAGAGCTATGTATCTGGAAGAGCAGATGGGGGCCAGACTTTTGCCCTACATAATCCAGTCTCTCGTCTCCTGCTCTGTTCCGTCAGGACCAGCTGCTCTTCTGCGATGACTGTGACCGTGGCTACCACATGTACTGCCTAAAGCCCCCGGTGGCGGAGCCCCCAGAAGGTAATGCCACTGAGGTCCACAATAACAACTGCAGCAGCTACTTCTCCTACCCCTTACTGAGCCCTCACTATGGTGCAGGAGTTGGGCGCGTGGTCGGTATGACCACTACCATTCTAGAGGTGAGGAATCTGAAGTGTGGTTCAATCAGCTGAGTTTTCAACTTGAGGGCCAAGGAGCTGTTCTGAAGACATGCGGCCAAGTGGGAGGGAAGGTGGAAGCTTCCAGGCGAGCTGGCTGAGGCCAGGTAACGGGCGAGGTGAAGACGCACCATATGCGGCCTTCTCACCGGGGCCACCTACTCTCTTAGCTGAGCGGCACTTCATTTCTGTTGACATTGGACACACCCCCACCCCCCCACGTTTCCATGCTGGGTCTTGCGCTCTCCGTTGTGAAAGTCAAAAGAAAGTAAGCTATGGCCCCCCGGGATGGGGTTTAGGGATCAGAAGAGGGGCTGCTCCTGACCCCATCTTGTTTCTTGTAGGAAGCTGGAGCTGCCACTTATGCTGGGAACTGCTCAAAGAAAAAGCCTCAGCCTTTGGCTGCCAGGCCTAGGGCCCAGCGTCTCGGAGCGTGACTTGGCCACCGGGAGGCTGACCCAGAGCTCAGCTCACACCAGATCGAGGCCCTACTCCCATGTACCCAGACTGACCAGCTGTAAGGAAAGTATTAGTCACAGAGGGACACGGACGCTTGAAATCAGGAGGACGAGGTGTCCACTTACCTCCCCCCCACAGGTTTCAGCACCTCAGCCAGCCCCTCCTTATGTGTACCGGAAGGACCATGTACTGGGAACAGGACAATTCCGGCCCTAGCCCTCTCAGTGAAGTCCTCTCACTGTCTCCATATCCCCCACCCCCCACCCCATCCAACACTGGCTCCCATGGTAAGGGAAGCCATTTGTGACCACTGATGTGTCCTGGTGCGTAGTTTGGTGTTTCCTATTTATTGTGTTTTAAGAAGCCTTCTTGTAGCCCATCCACCTCCAGCAAGCGGCCGGCACTTCCCCCTAAACCCTTACCAGAGGAGCTCGTGGCTGTGGAGAAGTTGGTGCTGGTTACAAACCTCCCCTGGAAACGTTTTGACCTCGGGCTTGGAGGCGCTCTTGAAGATGGAGCCCTGCAATCTCCCTTCGTGTTCTTGACCTCAGTGAAGCAGGAAAAGTTGCCCTTCTGGGACGCCCAGTCGACAGCCAGCGGTGTCCTGACCCCCTGCGTTAGGTCACCTGATGAGGTGGGAAGCAGAGGCACCAAAGGATGGAAGGGAACAGGGTGCGGATGACAGCAGGGTCCTACTGCAGCCGGTCGATTTAGGCGTCCATCAGGGGAGGCTGTGTGGGTCTTTGACCTTGAGGTGGGATAAGCCGTGGCTACAAACCGAGTCAGCAGATTCACAGTGTTGCCTCCCAGCCGACCTGGGCCTTGAGGTCTGGCTTGGCTTTTCCTGGTGGGACCGCAGACCCAGGAAGGAGGCTGAGTTACAGCCACCCGGTCAAGTGTCTGGCTGTGGAATAACAACATGGTGGTTCTGGAAAGCCCATCATTATTGAGACGCTCGGATTCCCTACCCCCTTTGCCACTGCCCATGGAGACCTGCCTCCGGAGATTTCAGGATGAGCGAGAGGTGATGGTTACCCAGACGGATAATCAGGCTGGTGTGAGTATTCATGACGACAGGGACCGTGACCGAGAATCCCCTGCTCTTGTGTCCCAAGCTCCCCCTGTACATGCTGGACTCTTGTTTTCAAAAAACGCCCCGAGTTAGAAGGATGTGGGGAGACCCCGATTCCAGTAGCCCCGTGTGTTGGAGTGGGCTGTCTCAGAATGGCAGCCTCGCAGGAGCAGGCACGTTTCTGGAAGGATCACCTGGTCGCGGCAAGGGGACCCTCACGCATGCTCTGCTTCCCTGCACTGCGCTGGCCTGCAACAGAGGCCCAGGCTATTTTTAGTCACTGGGCTCCTGAAGAGGCCCCCAGAGACAGGCTGGCCAGGCCGCCTCTGCACGGTTTGCTCCTGGGCTTGGCCGGGTGCTGATGGTTCTTAGCCGGTGGAGCCGCGTGGCAGCTGTCTCCTGCACGCCTTTGCAGAGTGACCGGTGGCAGGGCTGCGGGTCACCCTCGCGCGGGGGCCTCTGGCCTCAGCACGAGTGAGGAGCGGCGCAGTGATTTCATCGACAGGGCGCAGGCCCAGATGCCTTTTTCTCTTCCGCGGAAAGTAGTCCCTTCGCCCCGCTGGCTGGTGAGCCCGTTTAGAGTCCTGGAGGCCCAGGAGGATCCAGGAAGTTGCCCTGTGGGCACATCAGCTGCCCTTTTTTTTGGAGTGGGGTGGGATCCCATCAGGACAACAAGGGGACTTCCCCTCCTGACAACTCTGGCTTCTGTCTTCCCATGTGGGGTGTCCCCAAAGTCTGATGCTTGGTTTTGAAGGTCTTTTTCATTGAATTTTTTGGGGAAAAAATTGACCAAGATATTCCCAAATACCACAGTAGTAGAAAATGTTAGAAGGCAAGCCTGAGCCCCCCAAATTGGGGCTCCCCTGCTGGCGCAGCTTGGAGTCTGTGCAAGTCTGTCCCACTTCAGTGCCAGCGGTGGGGGGGTCTGTTCAGTTTGCAGCCACATCTCTGTCTGAGCAGAAGCTGTGAGGGTGGGAGTGAACTTCGCAAGCCAAGGGAGGAAGAAGCCAGGGCCTGGGGGCAGGGGCCTGGTCGGGGCTCCAGAATGGACACTGGGAAGGCTCCTGGGTGCCTTTATTACTCCAGGAAGAACGGTCCTATCCTCTCCCTCCTCGGAGTCCTTAACTTTTCCCATCTGGAAAGTGGGGATCGCAAAGCCATCCCTCGGGAAGACATTCCTCACATCCTGGGTTGGAACAAGAAAGGCATCAGATAACTTCAGATTGATCTCTGTTCTCTGAGCCTCAGAAAAGGAGCCAGAATCACAGGGTGCACTTGGATGAGAAGGGTTTTAGTTTTGCCTTTGCCTTTGTATAGCACTGTGACCTTGAACGGTTCATGTATCCTCCCCAGACCTCAGTTTGTTCACCTGTGAAATAGAGCTAATACTTCCCCCTGCCTGTTCCACAGCAAACTGGGGTCTGCAAAGACATGTTTTCCAGGCTGCCTGTGGTCGGGTCGAGGACACAGTGGCTGTGCTTGAGTCTGGGGCGCGGAGCGAAGGGTCACTCTGGGGTGGGTGCTTCAGGCTGGGACTTTTGGAGAGATTCTCATCTGTGATGTTTCAAGGGCAGGGGATTGAAGACTCGGTTTAAAGCCCAGTGCTGCTACTCTTTGACTGGTTGATCTTGGGGCCCAACGATTTACCTCTCCAGCCTTATTGTCCTCATTTAGGAAGTGGGGGTTGCACAGGGCTATTGGAGGGGATGCTGTTAAGGCCCAGCAAGCATGCTGAAGGTCCCCGTCCACAGCAGTCTGGTCATTCTGATAGAGGCCACCGAGTGGAGAGGACCATTGCTGTCGCCCAGTACAAGCTCCCAAGCCCATCCAGGTGCTGTGAAGGAAGGGGAGTGTCCATCAGAGTGGGGGTGCAGTTAGTTGCAGGACTGGAAGTTGGACCACTCTGTTTCCTGTAGGTAGGCCTTTGGGGCCTATAGTAAATCCAGGGAGCTCCTGGCTAGGAGAAACAGTGAACATTCTTGTCTGCTAAATGGAAGGTTGGGGGTTCGAATCTACTCAGAAGTACCTTGGAAGAAAGGCCTGGCCATCTACAGATGGGACAAAACCAGCCATTGAACCGCCCCCTGGCACACAATTCTACCCCGACATCCTCGGGAGTCAGCTTGAGTCGGAATCACTTCACCAGCCCCAGGCCCTCCACAGGCAGCTGTATGAGGACAGAGATAAAGCTCTCAGCTCTCAGGGCCCCACTGACTTATTGCACTGCAGGGGCAGGCAGGAGTTCTCAGGCCCCAGGGCTCACTGCTACTGCTATGGCCCCAGGGGCCAGGTAGGCAGCCTCAGCCACTGCTCTCTAGGGAGTTCAGGCTCAGGCTTCTGCCTTGGCAGCACTGCCGAGCCTGCGTGGGGGTGGGTGGAGGCAGGGAGCAGGGAGGCTGGTTCCTCCATCAGCTGGATGATAACAGGTTTTCGGGTGGCAGGAGGATTTGGGTTTTACAATGATGGCTTCATGATACCCTGGAGAGTCACACACCCGCCTGCCCGGTACATTTTGTTCCTGAGCTTTGAACACAGCATGGTGCCTTTCAGCCTTCCCCTGACAAAGCTCAGATATTTTAAGGAAGAAAATGAGATGACTGTTAATACTTCGGAGGTGCAAGTTTGGGAGACCGGTGCCCTTCCGTGTGAGTGAAGAAAGGTCACCGACAGCACCAGGCCCCCCTCTCTGTGTGTGCAGGGAGGATGGACTCCCTCAGCTGTCCAGGGCAGGGCCCTGATGGCCGCCGTCCAGGGTGCTAATCCACTCTCTGCCTGGGCAGCTGCCGCCTCCTTCCCCTCTGAGACTCTCCCCGGTGCCCACTCCCCATCTTGCTCTCTTGGCTTGGAGGTGCCATGATATCCCAGGCCGACTCCCTTTAGAAGCACCGTGGTGTCCCCTCTCATTGGCCCCACGAGTCCTGGGTGGCACTGTGGCAGTTGGGCACTGGGCAACCTAGCTGCAAGGTTGGTGGTCCAAACCCACTAGCCGTTCTGAGGGCGAGAGATGAGGCTGGCTGTGGTGGGAACTGACTTGATGGCAGTGGGCTTGGCTTCTTGAGCAGCCCACATCCACTGAAAGGGCGGAGGGTTGGGTCAAAGACCTTTGTGTCCAGCAAAGCAGGAGGAGGAGAAGGGGAGAGGCTGGGGGCTGAGAGGAGCCAGCCCCCTAAGAGCAGGGAGTCTGTGACAGAGAGGAGGGAGACAGGCCAATGTGAGATTCCCACTGTGGGAGGGTCCCACATCTGGCATGAAAATGAGAGGAGAGTGGAAATGAGTTATCACAACCTACTTGGACAGTGGGATGGTTTGGCACAGGTAAGGCAGAGGGTAAATACTTGCCCAGTTTGGGACACTGGGCCAGACTCACTTCCTTGAGGCCCCTGGGACCCTTGTTGGCTGGTGGCCTTCCGAGGGCAAAGCTGGCAGAGGGGCAACAGTGCCCTCACCTAGCCCAAGAGGTGCACAGTGTCCCCCGCAGGGTCCTTGCGTATCTCTCCACACCCACGGGAAAGGTGTTCTCCCCACTTTCTGACCTAGCTGTTGAGGTGCCTCCTTGTCCAGACTGGGGTGGGGCGCAGGGGGAGGTGGTAGCCAAGAATGGGCTCCATTGGGGCCTGTGGGCTGGAGGGCTGGCCACCATCTGCCTGGGGCCCTAGGGCAACGGAGGACTTGCCGGAACTGCTGTCAGGGAGGGCAGACAGGACGGCCTTCTTGTTCTCCAAGCCCAAGATGCCAATGGCTGGGAAATGAGGGGTGGGGGTGGGGGTGGGGCTGCCAATCTCACTCCCCATGGCCCAGTAGAGTAGATAAAGTTTTCTCTCCCCCCCCACCCCCCATGGCTCAGTGTGTTGCTCTTTCTGGAATCTTGGCCCCACCCTCAAAGATGCCGTTGGTTTTCAAATTAGCCCAATCTT